AACATGCCCATAAATTAAGGGCATCTGTCACAACTTTTAATTCCCAATACCAATTTTTCCAATTACTAAATTATCCTTAATTTAATTGATTAATTTAAATGCAGGCTTATTAAAAAATTTGGGATGTTACACTTTATGATGAGAGTTAGGACATAGAGTCTCATTTAAAAAGAAGAAAAAGTTGCATTGCAGTTTTTCCTCCTTCTTGTTATTCTCTCTCTATTTTTTTTTGTCTTTGCCTCCTATTCTCTCATGCATATACACACAATTAGCGATCTCTCCATTAATGACTCAATCAATTTCTAATCTTTATTAAATCATAATCATTCATTATTTTCCTTTTCATGTAATATCATTATCATTTATGATATGTAAATCTCTATTATCGTTTCATTCAAATCAAAATCTTTTGTCGTTAGTTTTTTTTATATGGTATAGAATCTTGAAAATTTTGAAAAAGACATAAAAGAGGAGGTGTCTAGCTCTTTGAAATTATTATTATTATTATTATTATTATTATTATTATTATTATTATTATTTTTTATTTATTTTCAAAATTATCAAATGACTTGAAAGTTTATCTGGACAATTTGAAACTACAGTAAAGACATAAAAAGAATTTTTTAAATGATTAAATTTGAACCATTCAAATGTTAATCTAAACATGAACAAAATTAGGGGTACAATATTTTATTATATTTGTCTCCTATAAAAATATGTATATAATGAATACCACATATTTAAATAGATTTGGATTTGCTCATACTATTAATTGAGTTGAATGATGGTAAATTATTACCTAAAACATTGCCACTAAATATGAACAAAATTTAATGTGGATTACAAACTTACATTGTAAAGTAAATTAAGTATTACATGTCAAATTAAAGTGTCATTAGGCCTTAAATAGAGATACCTCTTCCAATAACATCTTTTACAATGAATAATTGTTATAGAATATATCATAAACTGCTCCCAATACTCATAGGGGGACTCCCCAAATATTTGTCGACAGCCACATATGTCCTTCCTAATTGAGGGAGTGCATGCAAGATATAGGAAAATACTTTTCCAAATGCAACTTCTTAAATTGATCCCATGTTATGGTAATGAATCCAAGGGGTAACCAAAGCAACCAATTTTTAGTAGACCCCACTAAAGAAATTTGTAAGGCAAGCATTATCTTAATTTGATTCTCAAACACACCATTATGTATTGTAGCTATGCAAATCATATGAAAAAATATTTAAATGGTTGTATGGATCTTCACCTGCAAGGCCATTAAATTTTGGAAGTGAGTATATGAATCTAGATTTGAATTCAGCATCAATGTCAAGATAATTATTGCACCAATTTTGAAAATGTAAATAAGATGAAACTAACTCTTTATTGGTTCAAAAAGGAAGATTATTATTAGAATTTGCTTTAACATTAACATTTAATTGATTGTCCCCTTCCATTTTGACTTTATAATTAGAAGAATCTATAGATGAATTAAGAAAATAGCTACTATCTACAAGCTGAACAACAACTTGAATCCATCTTCATTGATGAAATGTCTTCTCAATTTTAGGATCAAGTTGAAACAATTTTTCAAAAGAAGGTTTGGTCACTCACTAAAAAAATTACAAATACCGAATAAAAACTCAAGAAGCTCAAAGAAAAATTAAAAAACGAATTCTAGAATTTTTCAACGAAAGTGTTGGAGAAAAGAAAGAAAGTGCACCAAAAATCTAAATATAATTATGTCAAACAACCATCGAAGCTTTGAAAGTGGTATTAAAAGACACTAATAAAGATATCCAAAGGCTTAGCACAACAAACGGAAAATCAGAAAAAATAAACTAAAAAACCTTGGAAAAAAATAAAAAATCAAAGAAAATTTGAAAAAAAAAATAAAAAGAATTGGGAAACTCAATGAAAACTGCTGAATGTGGCAAACCTAATCCACAAATAGTAGCAAGAGGTATACCACAATTTATTAGCAAACTTAGGATACCAAAAATCAGAATTTTCTAGGGAAAAATAGGGAAATTTGACAAGATATTTATGAAAAATCAATCAAAATGCAAAATGCAAATTATCAAAGAAAGATAAAAAGAAATAAACCTAAGAACTCATATCTTAAGACTAACAATTGCTCCCCCTGACAATGGCGCCAAAGTTGATTGTGCCACTACTACTGGAAGTATTTTTATGTTGATTATTTTATACTTTTTATGTCAGTTTAAAGGGAGTCGCTAGAAATTCTATCATAGAAAGTAGGACTTTCCACATTTGTTACAAACTCAACCAATGTGGAATGCGAGACATTCCATGTTGTCTTATTATTTTCACAAATGTGTACTTTCCACATCGGTTGTGTCTGGAATGGACGTGGAAAGTCCATATTTTTTATATGCAATTTGTTTTCTTGTGCATCCATAATTTAAACCTATAAACTATACAAAATATCCAGTAGGAAAAAATAGCCAACCAAAAAGCATAATCAATTACTATACAAAAAATTAAATTAGACATATACACAACTAGCATAATATTTGTCCATTGTATCTAAATTAATCAATCTAGCTATTTGGTCAACAAATTGTAACTAGCATAATATTTTTCTGTTGTATGTAATCTAGTCAATATACATATATGTTCAACTAACAATTTGGCAACCTTGCACATTAAAAAGTGCTCTTTTTAATAAACATATATGATATATCCTTGTCATTATAGGGATCCAAATTATAAAAAATCTAAATAATAAATCAATCAAAATAATACTATAAGATGTTAATTGAAAGAATTTAACATAAAATTACAAAACCAAATAAATACCATATGATAACATGGCAACTTCATATTTGCTATTTGATTTATCATGTATGTCATCCTCCAATGTATTGCGTTATTCTTCCCGTACAAAACTTTCTGGCATAGAAATCCTTTTCATTTTTTTTTCCAATTTCACAGCAAACATTACAAAGGTGTCTATCATTGAAATGTGATCAAAACATTAGTGCTATGAAAGAAAACTAAGAAAAATGGAGAAAAGTAAATAGAAAAGTTACAAGGTTCTTGATTTGACAAATGAGATGTCTAACCCCTTTAAAGTTAGAAACTCCTTGAGGTCTTTTTTGTCAATTGGAAAGATATATTGAATTTTCACACCCACAACACCCAATGACATTTTAATGTTAATAGCCTTTGTCATATTCTTGTAAACCTGATGTAGTATTGCCAGACAAGAAAAATTTCTCAACATCTTTAGGTTCTTATTACAACAAGAAGAGTTTTATATGAAATTAAATAGCACAAAAAATCACCATTAAGGTGCTCTTTACCTTTGGCAAAGTTACATCAGTATTTGATGTAATGTCCGCCTCGACATTACTAGGACAACAACCATACACGCCATTATGATAACTAGGATTAAATTAAATCCCATAAGGAAGTTATCACAACTCAATGGTTTAAAAAATAATTAGTTTAAAACATTGAAATCCCAAGAAAACCCTTTTTAAAATATTGTTTGAGCTCAAACCATAATTAAAAATTAATTAAGAACAAGTATGGAAGCATGGAAATCAAATCACTTCAAAACAAGCTAAAACAAGCCTTTTTGCAAAAATTCTGGCTCGTCCGCCACGGCAGATGGCATAGAGAGACAAGTCCCTTGAAGGCCGCTTGCGCCAAGGCGATCACTTACTGTCATGACAGTAGATTGCTGTCATGACAACCCTCCAAACTTTTGGAGTGCACTGTTTCACCATTCGACGTCTGATTTAAGCAATTCAAGTGTCCACACGAAACTCTTTGAGCCTCTAGCTAATGGCACTCACACTTAAACAATCATCCATTAAAAGATGGGACACCGTACCCAAAATGGTTCATTTTCACCTCAAAATACACACAAAGGTGTCCAACTCATAATGTCAATTGCCGTTAGTCCCAGAGACACTTTGATCACCACAAATGGACCACACAAACATGACAATTTAATCATAACACATAATTAAGCATTCACACTCAAAATGACCATTAAAACCCCAATTCACAACTACATAAGGGGTGGATAAAACCTAATACATATATCAACTTGGTCATTTTGGCATATCAATCATTTTAAATAGGGAGAATGACAATTAAGGACCTTCTAAGAATATTAATCTCAATTACAGACCATAAAATTTTGAAATTTCAGTTAAGAACCATGGTCCTTAATTGTGATAAAAAAATATAGTTTGTGAGGTGGAATTCACTATTGCTACTTAGGCATTCATTAACCCAACTTGAGAAAATTTGTAATGTATATTGTGAAAACATGAAACCCCACTTGGAAATCAATTGTTTAACAAAAAACGCTATTCGAGATTTCACTAACTCGACTTGAAAAAATTTCTAACGTATATTGTGAAAACATGAAACTCCACTTGAGAATCAATTGTTTAATAAAAAACATCAATTTGTACAAGTCACTTTTTATTAAACAATTGATTCTCAATTGGGGTTTTATTTTTTCACAATATACATTAGAAATTTTTTCAAGTCTAGTTAGTGAATTCTCAAGTGGCGCTTTTTGTTAAACATTCAATTCTCAAGTAAAATTTCATATTTTCACAATATACGTTAGAAATTTTTTCAAGTTGGGTAGTGAATTTCCAAGTGAAACTTTTTGTTAAATAATTCATTTTCAAGTGGGGTTTCATGTTTTCACAATATACGTTAGTAATTTTCTCAAGTTGGGTTAGTGAATTCCCAAATCGTGTTAGTGAATCCCACCTCACAAATTATATTTTTTTATCATAATTAAGGACCATAGTCCTTAACTAGAATTTCAAAATTTTATGGTCCGTAATTCGGATTAGTGTTCTTAGAAGGTCCTTAATTGTCATTCTCCCTTTTAAATATATCATATGTAAGTGTAACTTGGCCAAGCACACACACTTAATCCACAACATCAACTTTAGACCAAGATACACACACTCTTATCACAAATTCATATTAAGGGATAATCACAATAATGTCATGTTTCTAAGTTGGCATTATATATTGACAATATTTATTACAATACCCAAAAAGAAGAAAGGAAAGAGCCATACAACTATGCTCTTCACTCTTCAAATGCCCTTTCCTTCCCCTTGCTCCTACCGGAGCCCTCACCTGTAAAATATAATCACGGGGTGAGATAAACATCTCAATAATAGAATAATTCACTACTATTAATTAACATGCACAACCATAAGAGAGTAAAACTATAAAAATCCAAAATATACTTTTAGCATGTCACTACAAACTCTTTTCATTAGTACAAATCTTTTACCACTAGTATGATCATTTTACCATCCGAACCTCCATATTACCCCAATGAAACCATAGGCTCTTAGACCAAGTGCACATTCACAATGATCCGATCTTTCTTTAGTAGTAGGATCACCTGGCTAAAGGTGTCCTATCTTACTTTTAGACTATGGCTTCCCCCTATCACAAACAAATTAGGGTGTCATTACTCTAACATCACATCATTGATACTAAGGAGTGTTACTCTCCAACGTCATATCTCGCATAGATACTAAGGAGAAAATCTCAAATATCGTGCCTCATTAGATACTAAGGAGATATATGCCATATGCATTTTCACTACTCCTTTCTATGGGTGAACTCCTACCCCCTAACATGGTCATGCCCATACTCAACATATATATCACATATACATTTCAAATTTCTCAACCTATTCATATATAACTTTTATCATTCTTATCATTTGCAAATAGATTTTTCATGCACAAAACCACATTTGCAATATGCAAGGTTATCAAATCTTAAATAATAGATTTAACCTAAATACTCACATACAATTAAGCAATATAATTGAATAGTGTAAATCATTCTGTTACCTTAACCCTTTATCACACAAAAGGGTATCGTGGCTTAACATTAGCTCTACACGTTCTATACGCACGATATAGCTCGAGCAATGCTCAATCTACACAATCAAGTGACAATCATCAATTATCACTCTAGAAAACTCTAAATTCACTAGGTTCTAAGTGTTTAAAATACTCAAATTCCTTTTCTAACAACATCAACCATTTCCAAACACTCTAACCATCCTATTAAATATCCCAACACACCAAAATCACTAACTAATATCCCACATTGTCTTAAAATCTTTAAATTATACCTAGAGTTTGTCCAAACCCTTACCAAAAATTTTCAATCACCGCAAAAATGATAAACTTAGTGTTAGAGGCTTGATTTAACTCCTTAATGCCTTAAATAAACTAATGGATTTAGTATAAACCTAAGGGAACTGAAATCAAGGCCCTTATTGCCTAAATGTCCATATTTTCACATAATGAGGGAGAGGGAGAAGAAAGGAAGGCTTACCCAATGTATATGAAGCTTGAAAAGCCTCCAAAATCACATTAGAAGCAAGCCCTAATAGTCACAACTTTATCGCTGCTCTCAAGTTCCTTCTTTCTCTCCTATTTTTTGAGGCTAATTCATAATCTGATAAGTGCAGATTTTGCATGTGCATCATGGTGCATTGACATGCCCACCGCGGCACATAGCATAAAAATTTCCATAAAATTTTAAACTCCCTTCCATGCCATGGCCCGCTCAAACATAGCCCTAGCCCTCTTCTAAGACTATCCAAAGATGCAAAAACTATATTAGTTTCCTATAAACCTCGTTAATCAATAATTATTTAAATTGACTAAATTACCCTTAGAAATACTGAAATTTACAAATTAGAAAACTTAGGATGTTACATTTGATGCAAAACTTTTAGGATGTAAAATGAAAGCTCATTTTACTCGGGCTACTATTGCAACCTCAAGGGTAGGAAATGGAACTAATACATTATCCTCACCTGTTTGAATATGTGTAACTGTCACCGTAACTTGATCCTCTCAAATTTTTTAATAATGGATTGTAGACCCAAGAGCATTGTATGCTTAACCTTAGATGACAACATGTTTTTTTTAGAAGCTCCAAATACAGATATCAAAGAGTTTCATTATCATTTGGTACAGGAGGATTAGGGTCAACTAGTACCAGTGCCAATGCTAGTGCCTTCAGTGGATTACAATGGTCTTTAGTGCTTTGCATCATAGGAGAAGTCTAGATGAAATTAATACTAGCAATTCAAGAAAATAAGTAAAACTCATATTGGTCCACCCACATCTTGCCTTTAAGTTGACCAATCTCAAAACACCCATCAAACGTGTGTACTTTTTACACCTCGAATACAAAGGCTTCTCTGAATCACTCTGCAAGCTTTCGTATGCATATGCTTGTGTAAAGGACTTCATTCCAATATCATGGATCATATCCTCCATCCTATCATCTCAAGCAATCTCACCAACTTCTTTCTTTTGGGACAACTCAATCCTTCAGTTTCACTATGCCATATCTATTTCCTATACCTCAAGTTTATGCCATCATAAAGTAAATACTCTCTTATTTCATCAATACCTAGTCAACTCCCATTTAAATATTTTACGCATGGAAAAAAATATAGTCCATTTTCACTAGGAACATCCTTTTAGCGAATTCAAGAAAATATTCCACCCTATTCTCATATTTTTCACTTGTTCTTCTAGCGTTCATATCCAGCAACGGCCTATGTTTAATTCCTAATTGATTTACATAAAAATATTACATTTAAAATTTTCCAAACTTAATTTAAAAATTTTTGGAAATGTTCTCCTTAAACTAGGACCTCCCAAAATTTTAACAAAAATAAAAAACCAACTCAAATCAATGAAGTTCAAATCAAACTCCTCGGAACTATAAAATTTAACAATTTCTAAACACTTAACAATTTAAAAGAAACAAACACAAAATAATTTCTAAACACACAAGTGTAAGTATTTATAAAATGTTCTTAATTCAATCATATTTGTTTATCCATTTATAAAGTTTTAAAAAATTTTGGTAGAATTTTCCCTTAAAGAAGAACATCCTAAAATTTCAACAATCACCAAATTTTCACCAGCCACAATTGAAAATTAATTATATAATGGAAACATGTATAATAATTTTCCAAAGTTATAAATTCCACATAAAAGTTCAATAGAAAACAAAAATGAAAGGTTAAAGCAAAAAACAAAATCAAATATACAAATACCAAAATTAATTAAAATTCTGAAATCAATGGAAAAATAGAAAATAAACCAATTTGCATAACTCACCCAAAATCCAATTAGGAAGACATGCAACCACTTGAAGCAACAATAATGGAGACCCACAAACAATAGAGATTGTAGAAGAAGAAGAATAAAAATTATCCACCTACAATGGATGGAGGGAAAAAAAATAAGAAATGGAGAAAACCCACAGATAGAGTAGAAGGAATGGAGAAATGCAAAAATGGGAAGAAGAAATTTGGAATTGGAGAAAACCTTTGAAGAATTTGTTGCAATGGAGAAGAAGAGGAGGGGACTCACAACAAAAAATGGAGAAACTCACGGCAGTGGTGATGGTTGACGATGGGCACAGCTTGAACAATAGTTAGTGACTGGCTGAGGATGATTGGCGATAGCAATGGCCGCCGATGGAGGTTGGAGAGAAAAATGTCAGCAAAAAAAAATGGGCAGAATGGAAATGAAGAATCAAAACTAATTCTTGAAATTTAAAGCAAAAAACCATGTTAGTTATCTCCAGAACTGACTTGGTTTCTACATTCCATGTTGGTTTTTTCAAAACTAATGGGAAAAAGTTAACACTATTTCTTTTATTTTTTATACATTTTCCATATTGGTTATTTATATAATTGATGTTGAATACTTATTTAATGTCAGTTGTAGTAACAACCAAGTTAAAAGTTTTATACTTATTTACACTTTTGCCACTGCCTTTTTGACCTTTTTTTTTTGCATAATTGACATTAAAAGATGACGTAAAAGAGATTTTTCATAGTAGTGTGCCTTAATCATATTGGCACTCAACTAAATTAAGATTAACTTAATATAGCATAGGCCAACCTTAGGTCCTTCTTTCCAAGGAGCAATTTAGGAGTTATCTTAAGTTGGTTCTAAGTATTCATATACATGAGAAAAGATATATAAGTGCTAGATGTCTACACTAAATGCAAAACGAGAAAATATAATTTATGAAATTAAACCTACCTAGATGGATGCTAATGCTTATATCTAAAACCTAAGTTCCATTATGCTATGCATGAGTCTTGAATTATGATTGGGGGGGTTTCTTTCAAGAGAATTAAAATTCAAACTAAAGAAGTTTATTAAGTAAGAGAATTAAAATTCAAACTAAAGAAATTAAAAAAAAGTTTGATTCAATTATGGTAAAGTAGACAGCTTAGTACTTCATATTGAATTGACTTTTCTAACCTAATTCAATTAGCTAGACTAGAGGTAAATGATAGGAGAATGAAAATTATAAATTTGAATAGCTAATTAAAGAAAATGAAACCCTCAAGTACAAAAGTCTAACTCCACTAGAGAACTCATAGTGAACCAAGTGATACAACTATGAATTAGGCTAATTAAATCCATTAAAATCAATAATGGTTAATTCAAAATTAATATGAAAAATATGTTTAACTTATCTAATTGAACAATTTGACAAACTACCAACTTCATTGAACAATCAAGAGGTTAAAGCAATATATCCCAAATTTGCAACAAATATTGCAATGACAATTAAGTTAACAATGAGAATGCATTCATTAGTCTAATTGGCAAAGAAAGGGTTATATAAACATAAATTCCAAAAATTCATTCACATAATTTCAATTCTATTGAATAAGGCTGGCACCCAAGAGGAGGAGTGAATTGGGTGTTTATGAATTTTTCTGGACTTCTCAACTCAAGTAAGTGCAAAAATGAAAACAACATGAAATCTGAAAATTCTAAGATATTTGGGAGAAATACTTTGCCACAATTGATTTATTTTGGTTTAGCCTAACTACTTGGCTTACATCCAGTCCTTAATATCACCCTTGTGATTTTCAACTATAATCACAAACTTCAATGGGTGCTTGTTACCACAATACACACTCTCAAGACTTGAAAAATCTTGATTCAACAACAATACTTGCTACACCAGTAAGATGCTACAAATCACTAGAAATCTCTTTCTAAGTCACTCTAGTATAATGAAAATCTCTTAAAGAAAAACTTTATGTAAAG